ATAGTTGGTGACAGATGTGGAATTAGCATATATTACTTTAGAGGATCAAACAACGGATTTGTTTACTAAAGCAGTGTCCTCGTCACGTCATTGATATCTAACACACAAATTTATGTCGCGTCAACACCATCAATTTGAGGGAGGGTGTTAGAAGTTAGGAGTACCTAACTGTAATTAACATGTTTAGGGGTTAATACTCGGCCAAGTATATAAGGGTTGTATGACCGAGTTTCTCATGTATCATGTACGAAAACAATAATCAAGAACGATGCCTTGTGTTGTGGACTAGTCTCAACGATCATCATCATTGAGGAAATCACATAAATCTTACATCGTGCGTTTATGTTTTTCTGCGATTGATCAGGATTTGGACAGTTTGAACTTGAACTGTATCTCTTTTTGCGACACATTCATTTGTGGCGTGGCATGACAACATCAACACTTAGGAAAATTTACAAAAGAAAGGTTTCCAACTTGCCAATAGATGCATGATCTGTGAGGTTGATGCCGAAAATCTGTTTATTTATTGTGAATTTTCTTTGCTTATTTGAAGATATCTAAATTGTCATAAGAATTGTGCAAACATTCATATGCACACTGTTTGTTGGCTCATTTGAGTCGAGAGGAAAATATAAATTTTAAAGATAAGGTTTCATATAGAAAGGTATGTATAAGATCTTTGTTATGATTGACTTCTGATGAGGAAGTATGATTTAGCGAGTAGAGTGTGACGTATCATAATTTTTCACAACTACCCATAATTTGTTTTGTGGCTGCGATAAATAGTGCTTTGTCATCATTTTATAAAAGGATTGGTAGGTTTTTGGGAGAGAATAAAAGTTAAACATAGGTTGCTAAATTAGCTTCTTTCTTTTCATTATCTTTTGAAAAAATAGAAACATCAAGCAAACAAGAAATCCAAAGATGCCCAAAGTTACAAGATAAAATTCTCACAATACCTCACTTTACAAAAACGTTTACCAAAATACTCAAGTTTGGAACAGTTCGCTCCAGTGTCAAGCGAACAAGGTTGGGATTCGCTTGACACTAGAGTGAAAGGGCCGGATCACAGCTGAAACAACCGAAAGGCCCAAAATGAGTGTGGTTCGCAGCTGACCTCCAGGGGACCACTCTGATCGATAGTCATTCCCACGATTTACTCATAATATAGGTTCAGAACTTCAAATAATTATAAGTTTGCGCTCGGTTGTCCAACCGTAGCGATTTTTATTATTCCGCAAACTTTTCAAGATCTACAACTTTTACAAGGAAAAAATTTCCAAAAAAAATATTTTTTTGGAGTTTCGGAGCATAGGGGTGGTAAATGGTTTACCGGTTAATGGTATAATTGGTAACCGTACCGATTACCGCTGGTTACCCGTATATCATTAACCGGTTATAGCAGTTTCGGATCGTAATCAAGGGGCCTATTGCATGTTTTGGTTTATCGGTAACCGGTGCCGGTAACCGCCGTGTTAATCGGAAACTGAAAACTAACCGCGCACTACCACCACCTACCCTATTTTCAACCCCCCCCCCTCTCTGATTCTCTTCGTTCTTCTTCTTTCTTGACTACCAACCTCTCTGCCTGGCCCATTTTCAACCCTCCCCTCCTCTACTTCTTTTCATTCTTCTCCTTCCTCGACTCTCACCGTTACACCATTCTTCTCACCCTTCCCTCCCCTTTGTCGCCAACCAATTCCTCTACTTTCACCTCCGTTCTTGCAAACCCTCCAACATTGTAACCCTTCTTCTCCAACATTCCATGTGTCCTGTCGCAGATATGAAGCGGTGGCTATGGATTTAGATCTCGAAGCGAAGGAGAGAAGGGCGAAGGCGAGAAGAAGCTTGCATCTGCTCCAGCGGTTGCGGCCTACGATGGAGAGAAGAAGGACGACAGGCGGGAAGGTCGTCTTCGTCTGCAAGATGACATGCATTGCCTTTCTCCAGTCCTCATTTACTCTACGACGCCATCGCTACATCTTCCTTCACCAATGGCCGCATCCGTCTTCAGAGGCATCTCTGAGCATCATCTTCATATGATAGTCGTCGTCGTCGTCGCCATCGGCTTCCTAGGCACCATCGTTATCCAAATCACCAAAATGATCCATCGAGTCGATGACAGTCAACCACCATCGAGATCTGATTGGCCATCGTCATCGTCACCTAATCTCTATCACCGCCGCCGCCAACAAGAAAGGGAAAGGTCGAATGGAGAAGTGGGGTTCGCTTTAGGTGGAGACATGGAGTTTTGAGAGAAGGAGAAGAAGATGAATCGTTTGATGGCAAGGTGGGGGTTCTATTTAGGAAGAAACGGCTAACCGGGTTTCTAATCGATAACCAATTATTCAGTTAGTCTGTTTCTTTTTTGTATCGCTATTCGGCAGTGTTTTGGAGGAAAACGGTATACCGATAATCGGATAGTCGGTAACCGATTTAACAAGTAAGTGATCATTATCACCCCTAGCTGAGCACAATAAAAAACATTATGATGATCGGACTTCGTAGCACAAAGTTACGATATTCCAACGTTTGGCAAAATAAAAAAATGACTGGTTCGGTGTAGCAAACAATATTTTTTTGCAAGGAAGGCAAACCAAATGATGGTTTGTTGCTTTGAAAATCTCGAAAAGGTATGGGGAATCAAAAAATTCGCTACAATTGGATAACAGGGCACAAAGTTACGATCTTTTGAAGGTTTAACCTAGAAATTATGAGTAGTTCGCGGGTGTGTCCAGCGATCTACCCTAGGTTTGGCACATATTTCTTGGAATAGCCGCGATCTGCTTTATATTAATATAGTTCGCTTGGAACAGCTGCAAACCAGTGTGGATCGCTCCAGCGAACCATTACCTAGTTCGCTTGACACTAGAGCAAATGTTCCAATTTAAGTATTTTGGGAAATTCTTTTTAAAATGAGTTATTGTGGGGATTTTATTTTGTAACTTGGTATTTTTCGGATTTTGTCCTTAGTTAACCCACCCTACAAATATGTAATGAATTGATAAACATGAAATTGGATAAGAATTGTTATAATGAGATGTGTAATTTATTTTTTTGATTATGAGGAGGCCGAAGTCAGGGAGAAGATACAAAGATTCACAGGGGGAGGAGTCGCCTTCCTTTCAAAGGGGAAGGTCGAGAGCACTCACCCCTGGCATACTTACCAGCAAAACAAGAAAGAACAAAAAGAATCGAAACAAGTTACAGCTGATAATTGCTGAAATTCTCAGTAATCACTTGCCGAGGAATGCAAATTACCATTGTCTTATAAAAGGAGTCTTTCTAAATCTAGTGGGAGTTCATCTAACTCATATATACCGAAGGGATTAACGAGACTATGCTTTGAGAGCCAGTCCGTGACTCTATTCCCTTCGCGATATGTATGAATTAAGCGAACAACCCAACTCTGAGCAAGTAGTCTTCTAATGGAGTTCAAGAGAGTGGCATGAGGGTGTACCGGGCCTGTTCTTTTGTTGATAAGTTCAATGGCTAGCATGGAATCAGTTTCGAGAATCAAGAATTGTGTACCCTTTCTCCAGGCTAGTTCGAGACCATGATATATACCCCACAACTGAGCAAGTACTGCTGATCCTGTCCCAATGTTACAGACGAATCCAGCTATCCAATCTCCTTCACAATTGCGAAGCACTCCTCCAGCCGAAATGGCTCCTGGATTTCCCCATGCCGCCCTGTCAATATTAAGCTTGCACCACCCAGTCCTTGGTGGAGTCCAACAAATTAGCTGTTCCTCCCTTGAAGGCTTCTTGTTGATGGCATCTTTAACCTCTGAGGCTCTTTTTCACGTTCTCATCAAGTCTTTGGCCTTCAAAATTATGTATTTATCCAACGTAGTACTGGACACCCTGATGTCTTTGAATATATAATCATTTCTGTGTTTCCAAATGTACCAGCAGATGAGAGCAAAAAAGCTATCCTAGCTCCTTGTATCTTTCGTGACTTCATTGTTCTATAAGTTCCCTTTCAATCATTCTTCTTGGCTCATGGAAAAGAAGTGTTGTTGGTGGTTTAAGAGAACTAATCTTTCCCACACTCTCCTGATCTTAGCACAGTCACGCAAGCAGTGTAGATTCGTTTCAATGTCTGCATCACAAAGGGTACATTTGTCGTCATGGGAGAGATGGCGAAACTTCCTAATGTTGTTGGTTGTCAAACGTCCTTTTGCAGCAGTCCAAATGAAAAGACGGACGCGTTCTGGGACATGCAGACGCCAAATCTTGTTCCATGTAGCTGCATTGTGCTGTCTTTGATGTTGTTCTTCAAGCTTGTACGCTGAGGATGTGCCGAAAGTTCCATTAGCTGAAACTTTCCAGAAAAGTCTATCTTCAGCGGTTGTCAATGGATCTATAATGACAGATCTTATTTTATTAAGCACTTCTGCTGACAGGTACTCTTCCAGGTCCTCAATCTTCCAGCCCGTGGTTTCGCTCTAGTAACCCGCAACTTTCTTCTCTTGAAGCTCCATCGGGATCTCGGTCAGCGCATGACAAATCAGAGGTTCCTGCAAAACCCACGCATTCAACCAGAAATTAGTTTTCCTCCATTTTAACATTTTGAGCTGCTCCTTAGTTAACGTAACCCACCCTACAAATATGTAATGAATTGATAAACATGAAATTGGGTAAGAATTGTTCTAATGAGATGTGTAGTTATTAGAGTTTTCTTATTCCACCTAATCATCGCATCTCTCCGAAGGAACATCACATAATTTAATAAGGAAAGAATTAATTGTTAACCAAGAAATTTGAAATTAACACATGCCATTATGTAAGGTTCAACATTAATTTGATCATTTGAATTTTGCTTAATGCATCAAACACATTCCTTGTTTATTTTGATCCATCGTACCCACTACATTGGTTTCTTTCCTTTAAAGTTTAAACACATTCTCATTTTGGTATTCATGCATTAGCGTTTTCTTATTCACGCTAGAAAGATATAGCTATATATTTGGCCTGGATGGACATTGTGCCTATCTAACCATGGCAGGATCACGTAGTGTAATGGCTATTGCTATTGCGTTGCTGGCTTCTCTCTTTCTCATCAAGGGTACAATTTTACTTTATAATTTCTATATATTCGATATATTTTCAGAATTGTAATTAAAGATTTCCATAATTTGTATGATTTTTGGGCATTTTATCGAACTTGGCCGAAACATATGGGCTATTAGCCCAAGAGTCTAATGCTACTTCCTAGGGCTGGCTATTTGGACCGGGACCGGATGAAAAACCGGAAACCGGACCGTATAACCCGGACCGAGACCGGATAGTAAACAATCCAATCCAATCTTTGGGCTTAGATTTGAGGTAAAAAACCGGATAAAGACCGGATAAGAGAGCTCAACACCCAAAACTTAAGGGTAATTTGCATAAACGGTCACAAACCTTTACACTTAGTACAAAACTTAACCAACTCCTCACCCTTTTAGGCCTTAGGCCACTCAAATTCCCACAATCTCAATATAAAATCAAGACCGAATTGGGACCGGACCGGGTCAAGACCGGACCGGATCAAGACCGGATAGTATCCAATCCAATCTTCGGTCCTTATATTCTAAAAAAAACCGGACTGGACCGAAGCAATTTGGGCCAATTTAACCGGACCGGACCGTATAGCCACCCCTACTACTTCCTGTTTTGACAGTGGTGGCAACAACGGCGGCGGCGGGAGGCACGCCAGCTCCACCGCCGGTTTTAATTTGCTTGATGGAGAATTTGGTGGTGCAGAACTGCGGGCCTTCCAACTGCGACGCCAAATGTAAGAGAGACTGCAAGAAATTCGGACGCAAACCGGAAACCTGCTCTGGAGTTTGTGCTACAGGGACCTTCTTTTGTAACTGTTATGGGCCTTGCAACCCAGGCCCACCTCCCGCTGCTTAACTTCCCACCACGACCCATTCCCGTTCTTCCATTTTGCTCTTCCCGTTTTCATCTTACCACAGTCCACGGCTGCTTGTTGTTAAAGAAAAGCATGATTAAATTTGGAGTCGCATTTAGCACTCTTGATTTCTTTATGATTAAATTGAAGTAATTACAACCTTCGTTTCCATCTCACGGCACTGAATATATAGCTCATCCATTTGTATTAGTGAAAATATCATAGCATTTCATGAATATAATATCCAGAACAATTAGATAAATAAAGAGCTTATATATAGTCCAATCTAAATGCAACCATTAAAACCAAACAATTGCACTTTTAAACTAGGTGATCCAGCTGTCTTTTGCTTTACTCCAAAATTAATTTTGTATGTAATTTGAGATATTACGAAAACAGTAATTTCGATGCCGTTGTTCGTGTTTCGGGTTGCTCGTCAGGTCTTGTCGTTCGAGGATCGGATGGGCAAGTCTTTTTGGCCTTGGGATTCCACCATCCAGGATTTTCGAATCCCTATCTTACAGAACTGCTGGCCGCCAGGGACGCCATCTCTTTAGTTCATTCTCGCAGTATTCCCCATGCCATCATCGAAGGTGATTCAGAAGTAGTTATCCGGCAACATGATGGTAGATGCTGTGAAGACTCGGTTGGCGGGCCCTTACTTCGTGATTGTATTCAGTTATTGAGCTCAGAGCTCCTATTCTTCTTGTATTCACTTTAGCTCCGTCTCGAAGACTGTCAACTGGGCTGCCCATAGAGTGGCAAGACAAGCCCTGCTGCTGTCCCCTGTAGAGATAGCGTCCTTCGATTTTGTAGAGTGGCTTCATTAATTGTCTTTTTGGGGTTTTGGGTAGAGGATTTAACTATTGTACTTTGATATTACTTGGAAAAAAATATATATTAGAAAACAGTGTTATTCATCTTTTTAAATATGAAAAAAATGTAGTTGAGATACAAGCGAGAAACGACATCGTCTTGTGTATTCGGAGTCAGATCTAAGGTGAACCATCCTTGTAATAATACCTACTACACAAGAATACGACCGACCCCACGCAATCCCACAACCACAAACCCCTTTTCTTTTTCCTATTTCAGCTTCAGTTTCAGTCTCTCTAAGCCCCAAAAGCTCACCGATTCCGTTCACTCTCTCTAGAACATTCTCCGCCACTCCCTTGAAAAATGACGGACTCCGACGGAACCGCCACCGCGCCGCCGAAGCAATCGGAAGACAAGATGATGCTGCCGCCGGCCCCATCACCGGCCAGAAGCAGTCATCTCAGCATTTGGCCCCCTTCGCAGCGCACCCGCGACGCCGTGATTTCTCGCTTAATCGAGACCCTGTCCACTCCCTCCGTCCTCTCCAAGCGCTACGGCACGATTCCGACCGACGAGGCCGCCGAAGCTGCTCGCCGCATCGAGGAGGAAGCCTTCGCCGCCTCCAGCCACTCCACTACCCCCGAGGACGACGGGCTCGAAATCCTCCAGCAGTATTCCAAGGAAATCAGCAAGCGGATGCTGGAAACCGTCAAGGCTCGGGCCGGGTCCGACACTGCCCCGAACAACATTGCTCCGGCGACTCCTCCTCTTGATGTGCCGCACCCCGCTGATTCTGCTGCCGAAGAAGTTCCGGCTTCTGACGAGGCTGCCGCTTGAACTTGTTAGCAACTTTTAACTTCTATGTGGTATGTGTTCTTCTTTGTTCTAGGGGTACTGTAATGCTTATCTTTGACTTCGAGATTGAGATCTATCCGTGCTAAGTTATGCCCCGATTATATGAGAAATCACTTCTTTAAGGGTTAGAAACCCTGTCTAGGGTTTTGGGTTTCTATTCCGCCAAGTATGCTTCAGATGGATTCCCCCAATCAGTTTGCTTTGTTTTTTGATCTTATCTGTGTGGTGTTGATTCTGGGGCTGTGATCATCCATTTGATCGATGGACTTGTATCTGAGCTTTGTGTGAAATCGGTTTTGTTTCCAGTTGAGACATTGTGGTGGATTTAGGGAAAAAGCAAAATGTGACCATGGATAACTCAGAGCTATAGAAGATAGTTTTACCCCACCATTTTGGTGGTGTTTCCTTGTGATTAGTGAGAATCACACAAGGAAATGACACTAAGCTCGTAGACATGCACTAGTAAGCTCTCTGTTCGTTAGTTCTTGTTCCTGATAGTGTTTGCTAAGAGCTATCCTTCACCAACGTGGTTGCAGAGGGAATGTTAGTTGCTTTTTTCATTACACGGTGAGAGGTGCGAAAGAGGGTAGATATTTAGACCGTAGAGGGTAGATCAGCACATATCTGGTTAATCTCTTTCTCTTCGTATTCTGATCTCTAGTGTTTGTTGGCAGCTATTATAGTACAGTTGGATTTCTAGCTGTATTAAACATCCTTATGTGATTTAAGCCCTATTGTTAAGCTAGTAACATATCTGCTGTAGCTAACTGCTTATAAACAGAACAAGCCATTCATTCTGTTCATTTCTGATTCCCTTTGTAATTGCACCCGACATTTAAGATACAGTCCTTCGTCCGATAGTATATTCAAAAGAAACCCCTCTTGGATATGTTTAAACTTGGGCATAGTTGGTGGAAGCTAGAGAAAGGTTGTCTGTTGTAGAATTGTGTGTCAATGAGACCGTTCTCCTCTGCTTACAGTATTCTCGTCTGCCTGCTACATTTGGATACCCCTGAGTTTCCAATGGAAATGATGCTAGAAGAAGTGTCACTGACTTTGTTAGTACGGACGAGAGCTTACCATCTTGAACTCTTTCGTGCTGTTTTATATATTTTGTCATATGAACCTTCTTTCTCTGCTATTTAAAAGGTGGCCATTGTTTGTATAACTAATAAACTCTTTCGAATCATATACACATACTGTCATGTGCGGCATTGCAGGCGTATATACCTTCAGTGATCTTAAGTAACTCGCAAGAAAACTTCAAAACGTATTGTTCCTCATGATGCAGTTGTCTATAATTGCTATGGCTGTTGCATCTAAATTCTTTATTTCTGGTGAAGTACGGTCATCAATACAGTTGACATTATTGTACAATCTGACGAAGTTGAAGAGAACTTAGTGTTCATTTGCTTGGTGACGCTCTACCTGAAGTCGGACTCTCCTTCCTTTTCTTATTTTTCTCACTGATCCATTGCCAGGTATCTGTGTTGTCGATATTTATGTTCTTCAACTGATAGGGGCAACTGGAGCTTTTCAGAGAATCAGAGTTTTTTCCCGTTGTTTGTTTGGATTTTTGGTACTCTTGTCCGCTATGTTGATTCACTGCACAGCCATGAGCCATCTGTTAGGCTTATGATTTTCCTAGTGCTCCTTTCGCATTACCAGTTGCTTAGCAGTATATCTTTACGTACAATTAGGGCTCGTCGCTACTTTCTGCAGTAACGAAACTAATGGTGTATACTCGGATGGTAATCGTGTCCAGTGAGTCGTAGTGGTTGCCTGTTGGTATTTTGGGTTTCACAGGTTGACGTTAACAACAAATTAAAAGATTTCGCCCGAGTCTCTGTACCATGTGTTAAATTGTGTATGTGGGTGGGGATTACACACCCATTAATAGGAACTAAGACTTACCGGTTTATTTGGTCCGGTAAGATTCAACTGGATCATATATCTAGGGCTGGCTATTTGGTCCGGATTATTTGGTTTTACCCGAAATCGGACCGTATAACCCCGACTGGGACCGGATAGCAAACAGTCCAATCTCATATTCGGTCTTAGATTTGTGGTAAAAAAACCCGGATAAAGACCGGATAAGAGACCCCCAACAACTAAAATCAAGATAAAATTGGGACCGGACAGGGTCATGACCGGATCGGATCAAAACCGGATTGTATCCAATCCAATCTTTGGTCCTTACATTCCCGAAAAGACCGGACTGAGACCTGATCAATTTGGTCCAATTTAACCGGACCAGACCGTATAGCCACCCCTACATAGGGATGGCAATGGGTCGGGTTGGGTCGGGTTTTGTCAAACCCAAACCCAAACACATGGGTTTATCTTTGAAAAAAACCCGGGGTAAAACCCACTGGGTTTGAAAAACTCAAACCCAACCCAACCCGTTGGGTATCCGCGGGTTCATGGGTACCCACGGGTTTTGTCGTAAAAATTTTACAATTACAAGTTCTTATCAAAATTAAAGTCAAATATCAATCTCTCAATACAAATTATCCATATATAAAACACCATTCTAGAAAATTCAAGCAAATCACAAATTAACTATACAAATTGTTCAACACCAATCTAGAAAACTCAAGAAAATTGAAGCAAATCATAAATTATCCATAAATAACATGTTTAATTGAAAGCTTCTTCCTTTCAATTAAGTTTCTTTACTCTCCACTCCATAACATCAACTTCATTCTACACAATTAAAAAGAAAAAATTAGACATGTCTCCACAAACATAAATAAGATTAGTTGTTTAGAATATTAAATATACCGAAAAAATTAATTATATAGGTGGGCGGGTACCCACGGGCCGGGTTTACCTAAACCCAAACCCAACCCAACCCGGTGAATAGTGAACGGGTTTAAACCCAAACCCGGCCCAAAACCCGTCAACACGGATTTTACCCACGTTGACCGGGTTAGGTCGAGTGGGTACCCGTGGGTTCGGGTTTTGTTGCCATCCCTACCCCTACATATATCAGTGACATCTGATTAATAAAGTTAAAGTAGATTCCATAAAAAAAAATAAGAGTCTCAAACTCAAACTACTTTTTTCGTTAAATCAAGGGTCTCAAACTAGGAAATACTACAATTGAGCGGGTTATTACAACTAATTTGAGCAGTTAACCGCCCAAAGCCATCGACTTAGTTCACCCATTTATAATAGTAAAAATACAATTTCTTTGTTCAAAGGAAATTGGCTAAGCCAACTAGGCTACCTCACTTTCTTGTCATATTTTTGTCAAAGAAAGTGTTGAAGCCTCCTCGATCTACAATCCTCCCTTCCGTATTACTCCTTTCACCTCCGCGGATCCCGCCTGCAAACAAAAAGGTGGGCCTTGTGGCCCGTTAATCATCCAACGCTCAAGTCAGTCTTTTCCTTAGAGAGAGAAGTACTTTTCTCTAAAGTTTAGTGAGAGGAGCCAAATTGAGTAAATGCTTACCAACCTCCCTATTTATAACTGTTCATTGCTCACCCGGGCCGCTTCGTACGGACTTCCACGTCATCACCGCATTTAATGCATCGAAGTCATCCTAGGCGCCTGGTTTAACGTCCACCACTGCCAGATACACATCAGACGCCTAGTGAGCGTTTACTCACGTCACCGCTTCATCAGGAGCCCAGATCAACGCGTTTTCCCTATCCCAATCGATAGGCATCGGACATTACCCAAATGACCTTCTTGCACACGCCTTTGGGCCTCAAGTAATCACGCGGGCCTCGCCTCTTCTTGGGCTTCTTAGATCCCATCCCTCTTACTAGGCTCCACCACATGTCATGGCCTTCTCCAATCTGAACACCCCCAACAATTGCCCGCCAGTTAGGTGCTCAAGCTTTTAACACCTTGAGCGCCTAGCTACCAAGTTTCCCGTTCTATCTTCAACTGCTGATGTTATGGCTCCAGTCCCTTGTCCCCTATACACAAATAGTTAGCAAAGCCGCCCTCAAGCAGTACTAGGCTTTTACTAGGCTTTTTTCAAGATGGGCGCCTCTACATAATTCTGAAATGCACAGGCGATTCTTCCTTGATCTTGATCCCGTAAACCCCTCACCATCCGGGGAGGCGCCCATATCGCACCTTCCCGCCGTCCTATCATCTTCCCATCCCGAAGCGCCTCAGACGCCCTTTACTTTGGGGGTCATGTTTGAGCATTGAACGAAGGCCTCTTATTTCACCATCTCAGGCGCCTTCAACTTCCCTTCGCCCGATTCCTTTTCCAAACCACGGCGCCTACTGTCATTAATATTTTAAAATTTTTCTTCCCCAGGCGCCTTGGCCGCCCACATCCGACTCGCGGCGCCTTTATTTTCCCTACTTCTCTAAGACTCCTTTGTCCCTACTTAATTATTAACACCTTGAGCAATTTCCTCCTCAGAGACACAAGCCTCTTATTTCACCATCTTAGGCGCCTTCTCCTGGTCAAGCTCAAACGGAGGCGGGGGCAAATCCATTTTAGGCTCCGTACGGGCGACGTACGTCTTGTGAACCTTCTCTTCTGGTTTTTTGATGAACTCATTGAGCATGCCCCTGTCCACCAACCCTTGTAACTCGGTTTTCAACTGATAGTAATCAACCGTATGATGCCCCCGCTCTCGATGGAAGTCACAATATCGATCCAAATTTTGCGCGTTGGGTTGCCCCCTCATGGACCCCGGCCACCTCACATGGTACCCCTTATCCTTCACGTACTGCAGCACATTCTTTGGCGAGTCATTGAGCTCAGTGAACGTATTCGCCCTAGGCGCTGGGCTTCCCTGTTCATTTCTTCTCATTTATACGAAAGGCGCCCCCCATAGACTAGTCTAGGATCGGGCGCCTGCCTTCGTGCCACGTCCCCTTCTTCACCCTTTGAGCGGCGCCTATCGGCACTTCTTGCCGCAAGCGTCTCTTCTAACACAATGACCTTCTGTACCCTGTGATCCAAATCCTCCGTGGACACCACGTCTCTCTTGGACAGCGCCCTACAAAGCTCCTCACTTGTGGTGCATTCTTCAAGGAGGACCCCTAGTACTAGTGGTTGTACGTCCCTCATCGCCATCGCCACCGGAATCCAGCGTTCGTAGAATTTCCTCAAGGTTTCCCCTTCTTCTGCTTGATCTTGAACAGGGCGCCTACAGTCAGCGTTCTGCTTGCGAACTTTGCCAAAAACATGGCCGCAAATTGCTCAAAGCATTCTATGCGCCCTTCCTCGATTTAATGGTACCAGTCTAGGACTATGCCCGCAAATGTCGATGGGAATGCCTTGTACAAGGTCGCGTCCGAGCTGTTGTACAGTTGCATTTTGATGAAGTAACTATTCAGGTGATCATCCGGATCCGCCGTACCGTCATAGGAGGGGAGTGGCGGAATGTTGGTATTCGGTGGCTCCGCGAGCACGCTCCTCGCTAGTGGCTGCCTCACCACAAATTGAAGAGGTGGGCGTCCTTGCGTCCAACCGTTCCTTTCACCGTCGGAGCCATCATAATCGGCCAGGCGCCTCATGCTAGCAAGGCGCCTTAGTGAGCTAGACTCCCCCTCAGCCTCCAGCGTCCTCTCCCTTTCCCTCATCATCGGACTAGGCGCCCCATCTTTCAACATTTCCACCTTCCTCCTAAGTATCCCGATGGTTTCATCTTGATCAGCTATGATTTTGAACAAATACCTCTTAGTGATCGAGGCTTCTTCCGAATTCAGGTGCCGCTCTTCGCTTCCCTCGTCCTCGTTCCTACTGGTCGTCTGCTTCCCCACTTCTTGGGACGCTTCCGCCATAACTTGCTCCTCAACTTCGCTCCCGCCATCCTCCATCGTCTCAAGGGCGCCACTTCTTCAGCCTCCCGCAACTTGGCTCTGTTCTCCCTCTACTTGGCGCGACAATTGTTGAAGCCTCCTCGATCTACAATCCTCCCTTCCGTATTACTCCTTTCACCTCCGCGGATCCCGCCCATAAACACAGAGGTGGGCCTTGTGGCCCGTTAATCCTCCAACACTCAAGTCAGTCTTTTCCTTAGAGAGAAGTATTTTTCTCTAAAGTTTAGTGAGAGAAGCCAAATTGAGTAAATGCTTACCAACCTTCCTATTTATAACTGTTCATCGTTCACTCGGGCCTCTTCGTACGGGCTTCCACGTCATCACCGCATTTAATGCATCGGAGTCATCCTAGGCGCCTGGTTTAACGTTCACCACTGCAAGATACACACCAGGCACCTAGTAAGCGTTTACTCACGTCACCGCTTCATTAGGAGTCCAGATCAACGCGCCTTCCCTATCCCAATCGATAGGCATCAGACATTATCTAAATGAGCTTCTTGCACACACCTTTGGGCCTCAAGTAATCACGCGGGCCTTGCCTCTTCTTGGGCTTCTTAGATCCCATCCCTCTTACTAGGCTCCACAACATGTCATGGCCTTCTCCGATCTGAACACCCCCAACAGAAAGTAAAACTATTAAATTAGTATTAACTCTCAGAACTATCATAAAAAATATTATATGTTCATGCAATTTTTATTGATCGGTTTTCAAAATGATATTACACCAGTCAAATATCGATCGCTTAAGCCCTAAATATTAGACCTCTTCTTAATTCATATAAATGTTCGATATGATTTTGAGAACACTGAAAATTGGAGGTTATCTGAAAATTAAAATAAACCAATCAATAATTTGATTGTAATCTAAGGAAAACATAAAAAAGAGTAGGAGTGTGTTAAGAGGTTCACTTGGAATTGGAAAAATATATGAGCATGTATTGTAGTTCTAAAAACTAATACTAATTTGATATTTATATTTTCTTTCAGTTAAGAAACAACATTAACCAAAATGTTGTCCAACCTAGTTGGCCTATACATTGATCTTTCACTGAAAAGGTCGATGTTGAAGTTCACCATCTCATCAATTATATTTCTATTAATAAAAAATACTTATCT